GTTCATCATATTAAAGCGGACGTACACTTCAGCTGAATGAACATGCGACCTTGAAGTAGAGTTACGAAATTATCATACTGCCATTGTTCGAGAGACATGGCATATTGCCATAATGTCGCGTGATACGTGTACGTGCAATGTTGTTCAATAACTTCGACTTGTCATCCAATATGGCGCCATGGAAATATGTTAATGAATGAAAGAAAAAAGTGAAAGAATGAAATAAAATGAAAATACTTATTTTTTTACGATACAGCAAAATGATCAATTTTCAATTCTAAGCATTCTTAACAATTATTCGCGAGATCATGAAATATAACTCCAAAAAAGTTTCTTCTCTGTTTTTTTGTCTGTAGATTTTTCTCATTCCATGTAAATCAATTAATTAATCATAATATAACCTCACAAATCGTGTGAAATTGTAACCCCTATTTGCACGTATACACTGTGGCAATATGCCAGGTGTTATAAACCATAGCAATATGAACATTTCAGTTGACATCAGGTGTGTCAGACTCAATACTTAAATACATTCTAGTTTGTGCTTCCCTCAACGTTAATTCATTTAATACATTGGGTACACTTAAGCATTTCATGGCTGTAAATTACTTGTCTACTTTGTGAGCAAATGACGTTGTAAAAACTCCGTTATGCAGAGACCACAAACCTATAACGCTTCCAGTGAATCCTAATCATAGTACGCCATTTTGTTCGATCCGAGTGTCGCTACTACGATCTGTTTCCCTTTACTAATCAAATTCTACAGTGAATGTCGTTCTTGATAAATTGTAGATTTTAGAAATAATTTTCATAAAAAAATTATACACATATTTAGAAATAGTAGATAAATGTAGCCATTATATCAGTTTAGAGGCAAAATTTGTGTTACTGCCACAGAATATAGTTTCTATAATATATATCATACTATACATTGACATTACACCATGATTAGATATTCTCAGGTACATATGATACAGAAGCTTGTATGTTTCTATTCCCTATTCGTTTATCATTCAAATATTATTTTATAATATTGCTTAGATCTGATTCCCGCCCCTACCACTGCAATTCTGTAATTTCAAGAACAGATTGTGTATCTCGTGCAATTTATCCATATTTTAATCCAGGTATATGTACCCCTAGTTTACATGTGCGTAGGTATAGTCGTGGAGGTATTTAGTGTTTGGGATGAAACGTATATGAAGCTAGCGTGATTACGAAGGCGAATGTACATTTCAGCCGAATTAACATGCGACCTTAAAGTAAAGTTGCAAAATTATGTTACTACCATTGTTCGAGAGACATGACATATTGCCATAATGTCGCGTGATAGGTGTACGTGTAATATTGTACAATAACGTCGACCATTCATCCAATATGGCGCATGGAAATATGTTATTCTTGTTAGCAATATATAAAAATCAAGGGAAAAAAATGAAAATAATTTACAATACAACCAAGTGAAAAAAAATATTTTCAAGGATTTAAAAAAAATGTCCATGAAAGTTACTTTTTGTTCTCTGTCTGTACCCAACAGGACCATGAACAAACTAAAATATTTTTCCCTGCCCATCTGAATTAATTAATCGTTATATAATCTGCCAATTCGTGTGAAATTTTAACTA